AGGAATATCCTGCATTTGTGACAAAATGGACCATTTGAGTTTGGACACACTTTTCATCGTGTATCGAATGTGTGAAACACAGAGAGACTGTAATACTGCAGAGTTGCGTTAGCAACTGGAAAATGAAAAATAAATGTCCTTCCAAAAATGAAGGAAACGGTTAAAGTTGTGATTAAATAGTTATAATTTACCTCTTTTTTGACTAAGCTCTTGTGGTGCCATCTTTGCGTAAATAAAATTCATAAACTAATACCACACTGTACACCGCATATATATCATGTTTCCATGGCATAGTGGGTTTAACAGGCTAATTAGGTTGGCATTCTTTATATATGCGATATGTAAATACAGTATACATGTCTGCAACATATAACTGCACGTTTTGTTTTGCAGTATTGACAAAATACATAACTTACTCTACAGGAGATTTGGACTTCGTTGTTGATGCACTGAAGAAGGTGTTCCACTGTGAATCCTTTCTTAAAGCTGCAGCTTCTTTGCAGCATAATAACAAATTATGTCAGTGCAGGGATAGAAACATGAGGGAAGAAACACTGGATAGATATATGTAATTTTATTTTGGTTATCCTGTATTAAATGTAAGCTTATTTTGAGCATTTTGCGGAAAAATGGCAGAGTAAATGGGTATTTTTATGTGTCATAGTACCATAAGAGAGTTGATATGTAGATCTAATGAAGATCTACAGATAAAACAAAAGTGCATCACATGTATGTTAACATTTTTGAAAATGAGTGTATTAGTGATCAGCATTTCGTCAAATTTATTCATATTTATATTGTTTGGGGAAAATATTTATGATTATTTTCTCCATCCATAGGATATTAGCCAATGCATTTCTCTGACCTTAATTTTACAAGTAGTTGATATCTATTTGGAATTATTCCTATTTTTTCTACAAATGTTGTATATAGTGAGGCATCAGCCAGTAAGTTATTTTTGAATCACATTATCTTCACCTTTCAAGGAGATTCAAAATTGTGTTGTAAAAGATTTATAAGCAATATCAGCGTCATTTGGAGACATACCATCACATTTCATACAAATACATATGTTTCCACATCTTGGTTAAGATTTATTTACTGACAGAAATTGTGAGAAATTGCACAAATGAATTATAGGATATGATGAATTTAGCTTCAGCAAGCATAGTGCAAAATGTTACCTAGTTGCAATGTTACCATTATGACAAACAATGCAAATGCAACACTAAGCCCAGATTTCATTGTTGATATTAGTATCAAGTTTTGAAAACTATATAAAATGCATTAGTAAGAGTTTTACAAAAAATTAAATTAATTGCAAATGTTTTTATTACAGAAATTAGACATTTTAGATCGTCTCGGCTCTATGATCAGTTACATAATTTGCTATAATTTTGGTAACTTTGACTGGTTGATCGGAAGTGTAGGACGCTAAGGATGACACCGTATTATAAGCAGATAAGGTTATGAGATTAGAAATAATATAACTTTTTATAATAATCATAATCATTAATGCCATAAGTACAATAGTTAAAGCTATATGATATATGAGGTAGAATAAGAATCAGGGACTCGAGAATTGGTGTGTGTTGGTGGAGGGGATCCGCATACTAAGTTGTCTAATGACCAAGTATATGTATTTACAACCTCATACCTACAAATGGTAGATATCTTTTCATAACTCCTGTGACGGAATGGCGTCAATGTACCAACGGCGCGTAGTTTTAAAATACTTAAATGTATATATTTCGTACTGATGGTGTTTTGTGTCCTTGAATTTTGTGAATTTGTTCTTGATTACATTGCAAGTATGTGGGAGTGACAGACATGCACAATTCAATATCTCAATATATCAGTAGTGCAAAAAGTACTTCTGTGACTTAATCGTAAATAATACTCATGTAAATATTCTGTTGTTTCTTTGGAAAAGTATTTTTTTTCTGATGTGGGGCTACTTTATTAGAACAAAATAAGCAGTGAACAAAAATTAACCTTTTTTATTTAAATTCAGTTTTTGCATAGAATATCAAGACAAACACATATACATCTAAATAATAATAATAAAAAAAAAAACATTTAAATACACATACTCACACACATATACACCCGTGTACGTGTACGTGCGCGCACGCACACGCCACGCACACGCACATACACACGTACACACGTACACACACACACACACACACACACACACACACACACACAACACACACACACACACACACACACACACAAACGCACACACACACACACACACACACACAAACACACACACACACGTATCTCTGTATTTTCTCATACCTTTGATATACCTGCTCTATTTTACTTTTTTATTATATATATGAATGTAGAACAGTAGTTTGAAATCATATTTTCATGTTTGAACCCATTTATACAAGGCTCATCTACATATTAATTTGATAACATTATACTGGAAAATTTATTACCTTTTGATGAAGATCTGAATTTTTTTAGGAAAATTAAAAATGAGCAGTAATCTGAAATCAATTTACCTAAAACTAATATTTAATGCAAAGTCCTACATTTGAAAAAAATAGGATAACTGTTTATTAACTTTTTGAAATTAATTAAAGCATGGTGTTTAGATCTCAGAACTGTTTTCCGGGCTTTCACCCAACCTGTTTTGAGTAATCTGGAATACCTTCACTGGGTCTCGCAAGAGGTCCACGTGATACCGCTTTACGACCCAAATCCACATCAGTCCAAGAATTTGACAGATAACAACCATTGGTAACATGCATTGATAAACAATCAACGGTTCGTGCTCGGGGTAAGGCCACGCGAAAGCCCAAATGCAGTAAACGCAACTTTCGACTACCTGTTCCCAGAACTGGAGCAGCGGATTGAAAGTGTACTTGTCGATTGGATCACCTAGGAGCTCAACATTCCGTCTCACTTTCGCATAGGCGAGGCGAATGCCAAGAACGATGATCCCGACGATTTTGGCGGTAACGTAGATTGAAAGAGCAGATAAGAACATTTCCACGGCGATGGCACACACCAGAAGGGACCTGCTGACTGTAAGGGATATTTGTGTAAGGAAAAAACTTGTGGGGAAATACTGACCATTATTCCATATTTAGAATGATATCACAAGTGATGATTAATAAAGAAAAACATGCATTGAGAGAAAAAAAAACATCATGCGCCCATGTTTATTGTTAACATCATTATGATGATATATGTACTGTGACCAATTGATGTTGCACCCATGGTATATTCGTCATACTGATATGGGTATGAATGGGCCAGATTTATGAGATTTGAAAAAGATAACGCTAAATTTGTGCAGTAAATTTTGAGAGCATTAGTTATAAAAGCATAAAGTCTTACCGGTAAAGAAAACTCTGAGGGCATGAGCAGTAAAACATTCTTCCAAGTGTCGTCCACATTGTGCCTAGTTAACAGCCAAACTACCACACCCACTGCTGGGTAAGTATACACATAGACAGCTGAGGAAGGAGAACAAAGTAGTATGCATTAAAAGTTTATATGTACTTTTATCAATATTTAATATTGTCCAGTTTGTACACAAATCTCCCGTATCTGAAACTTACTGCGCTTATTAATAAATGGAAGGTCGAACATAGCGTAGAAAAGGCTGATAGTTGAAGGCCACACCATCGGCCATATAAACTTATTGAGATCGACTTGTTTGAAAGTTTCAATTGCTGCTACTCCTTTTGGTGACTTGGAAATTCTCAAACCAGAGATACGTAACGAAGGAAATGACGTAATGGTTATCATTACAAATAACGAGAGGGTCTTTCTGGACCACACGGTCGGGAAGTTCGTCGGCAATTGCCTTAGACTTTGATACATGGAGAATGTCATCTGATTCATTAGTGATGATGTGGTATGACAGTTTTTTCCTTATAAAGAGATGTTTCAAAGTTCTTGTGACGTATTTGCAGAAATTACGTTCTCCGACGTAAATTTCAGGTGAGTCCAACGATAGCCTTATGTTCCTCGTATTATTATGGAACCTGGTGCTGGTTACCGAGGGCCGGAGAGTCATTGTCAGGGACAGAAGCATCCTGTTGGCTGGATGCACCTGATGGCGAAGCAGGAGCTAGCCGGGATGGCACGCAACTTCCAAACGTGTGTGGCGAATCCACGTCTGGAAGCTGCTTCGCGGACGGCTTCGAGGCAACCCAATTTGCGTACCTGGCTTTCAGAATCTTTTGCTTCCTGATTCTTGGGTCTTTCTCGATGGCAGCCATAAAGGCACGCCATACTTGAAGGCACAACCTGGAATTATCAAAGGAAATGTCAGGCAGAGCTATCTCTCTTCTCTCTCTCTTCTCTCTCTCCTCTCTCTTCTCCTCTCTCTTTCTCTCTCTCTCTCTCTCTCTCTATATATATATATATATATATATATATTATATATATTTATACATATTATATGTTATATACATATATGCATACATTATATGTTTATATTACATATATACAATACATGTTTATAATATTACCATTATACATTATATGTATGGATATATGAACCAAAACAGCTACAATAAGAAGTGAAATAAAATCGTAACATTTTGGACTCTTCGCGAGTTCCTCATCAGACAAATAATTTACCGAAATGGTTACATGAGGAGAATTTTAACATTATATAGTAGTAGAGATGAAATGAATAAAAGCTGAATCATATCTCAGAAGGATTGTCAAGGTGAAAAAGTCTCCTATCATTGACCAAGGGCCCAAGCTGTGATAATGAACAGTTCCTAGCATTCTTCTTTCATAAGAATTCGCTGACCTGTGAATTCAGTGGCTTTTCACTTATGCGTGGCTTTCAATACATAAATGAAAGAAACAGGCATTTTATTTTCTGCATTTTTGTTTCGAAAGTTCTATCAGTTTAGCTTACTAAAACTAAAGGCACTGCATGATATCTTTACCAAGGATGGAGAAAGCTAAAAAATAGTGGGGGGGGGGGAGGTGCAGGGGTCCCTAGTGAGGGCTGT